ATAGAATTTTAATCCTGGCGAAAGAAGGAAACGAGGAAGAAGAAAGAGGATAAGTCGGTCGCATTTTTACACGTTCCGCTTCTTTGACCAAGTAAAACTCGCATCAGGTACCGTAAAATCATTAGGATAATCAGGTTCGCACACGCCAATGAAACTGGCCGAATATCGAATTCTTAGCCGGAAGATTGAAAATTCTCCGAACGTGTGGAACTCTGCCAACTCTAATAACTCGCCTAAAAATGCGGCAGTGCTTTTACGAGAGCTGAACTGAGGTCTGCCTTCTGTTCCTGGTAAATGCGAGATTATTTTATCCCCTGCCGAGTATCCCAAAATGAAATTGCAGGAAATAAGAAATTTAATATTAAAACTGAAATAGAGGCGTAATCACAAGTTTAAAAAAATTACGTAAAATAAATGATGAAAAAGTTTACACATTAAAAAGTTAATATGACCGAGTATGACACGTTTCACGACAATTCCGACCTCGTTTATTTGTTCTATCTTAAAAAATTTGATTACTCGCCTAGAGAGGAAGTCTTCTTGCCATTTTGCACCGTTTAGATGAGCTATGAGCGGAAGTTTGATTCAGGAAACCTGGCTCCGCCTTCATTCTATCTCGAGCTCGCGCTAATGGTGCCTAACTCAATTCCAAGAGGTCGAAGGTTGGACACGCGACTTGGCGAACTCGTAACTCGACTTTCGAAAGAGCCGACTCTATTTCTCGTGAGAGGACATTTAAGTAAAAATTATCTTGTCAATGGAACAAAGTAAAAATTGTGAAAATTATATTTCAGTATATATACATGCTACAGTAATTTAGTTCAAATACGCTAAATAGTATTTTATAGATGCCAAAAAAAGTTTAAATTTAAATATTAACACATTCACAAGTAAAGACAATATTAAAAAAAAAAACAATTATATTTTTATATTTTAGAATAAAAAACACTAAATATAACTAGCTTAGTGTTTAATAGTATTTGTATGTGAATTTTTTAAAATATTTTCCACTTCGTTGTTTGAAGAATTGGAAAATGTTTTGGAAGATGTTATGGCTGTACAATATCGGCTAAAAAATTTTTGTCATAATACGCTCAATTGACCAACTTCAAAAAACAAAATAAATAATTTTACTTATAATAGCTTTATACTGTGAAATGACTATATTTTGCTGCAGGCAAACGATTTTTAAACGAGTAAATGGATCCAAATAAACTTTTGCACGAATATTTATTAAAATTTGTTAGTATATATAAAGTTTGATTTAATTTGTAATGCTATGATCTCATTAAATTTGTAAATAAATATTGCAAAACGCAATTTACATAAGAATTAAGGCAAACAAAAAATTAAATTAAAAAACTTTGCTCCAATTTTACAGATATTCAGACATAATAATAGAATAATCTATGAAATTGTTATATTTTTTTATAATACTTTAAGTGTGATAATGATTGAGAGATGATACATACATCCTTAAAAATTCATATACAAATATATTAGGCATCAATCTAACCTCGATCGTTTTTTTATTTATTTGATTTATTCATAGCGTCTAGTTCAACTTATTATTTATTAAAATTATATACATCATACTTGTATAATTCCGCGATTTAGTATACTACAATATTTCTTTTCGCAGGCAGATAAATATCGACAAATTTACGATCAATAAAACAACAATAAATTTTTATGTTCGGTACTAAATATATGGATTAAAGAGCGAAAAAGTGAGTAAGCGCTCAAAAAATCGTAGACGCCCGGTTGACAGTTTTCACAAATTAAACACAATAATGAATCTTAAATGCCCTTTTAAGATCGCCGGCACTTGCCAGTGGAAATGAGGGATCCTTTTTTTTGTGAACGATAGCACCGCCTTGAGAAATTCAATGGCAGGGCATATAAAAAACGTGTCGGTTTCCTTTACCCTAATCGTCTGCACGCGGGACCACCGAGCAGCTAACTTGATTCTGACAATTTGTACACTCATTCGAGTCCCATCTTACGAACACTCGATTGCGTCCCAGATAGAAGACCGGATTACAGATATTTGTACTCAAGAGCTACGAGAGTCGTTAAAAAAATCGTAAGCATTTCCGCAACATGTCCGAAAGAGACACAAAATGCCAGAAATTAAACTGAGATAGTTTAAATTCCCCTGCAAAATTAGATATAATTAACTTTTATTACATCTCCTCGGAAAAATATTGAATTTATATTTGGATTTAAATTTTATTTGAATTATATACGAAAACTCTTCTAACTTTAATCTCAATATACTCTTTAGTAGTGAACAAACAAAGAATATATGTATATAAACATACATAGCAAAACACGAATCTGGTGCAATATATTGGTAAATTGAGAATATTTCAATATGTTTTCGCATCCCACGATTGTTGCAACATAATACGCTAACCGATAGCGTGCGCAAAATAGTATTTTATTCGGGTTATACGCGCGTGGTATCTACATAAAACTGTGTTTCGTGATATTTCTGTACACAATGAAACTGTGCAATCGATTGGCCTCGTAGACTGGATGCAACTCGACAGAATGCATTTATCCATTATTTTTCCGATGTTTTGTAAAATCGACGACGACGTTCGACCTTTCGGCCCACGCTACTATATATCAATGCTTTTAGTATACAGAAGGATCTTTCACGCGTTCGTCATATCATCGTCGCGACTCGCGACAGATCTCGTGAGAAATATGGAAAACAGACACGTATGTATATATACCGACACATCCGATCGGATCCATTTGTCCATCCGGCCGAGGAGCAGGCGGCAGGAAACGCGACTCGCGCAATTCGGGAGATATAATTTTAGATAGAAACGTAGACCGCGTACCACCCTCGCACGAACCTGATACTCCCACTCGCTATCAGCGATGTTTCAACCCCCGTACGGGATAGAATTTACGTCACGCGTCGCGATCGTCCCATTTTACGCGAGACTACATTACGATTCGTTTGAGATAAAAAGTATCCTCGTAAAAGAGGCAACATTATAAATTAATGTTCGCGAAGAGATCTGGCGGAAAACCACGTGGGTGGTTTCCTGTAGATAAGAATATCGAGATTATCGAGGAAAAATTTAACTCGGACGTGTCAAGGAGATATGTCGAAATGAATATAAGTCGCGCGTGGGATATACCTGTGGAAATCTTTCAATCGTTTCATTTAATCTATTCTTGATATTGGTTTCTTCTTTCTAAATGCAACCTTTTCAGGACATTTTTTTAATTTAGCCTTAATCTTCCGTCCGCAATCGTACTCTTATTCCCTCCATTTGCAATCTAGATTTTTGTCCAGACCAAGTTCTTTTACTATTCTACGTGAAAAAAAAAATTTAAGATTAATACTTTTCAATATCTTTGTTACATTATCAAAAAGATTTTTAATTCAAATGTTAAAGCCTTTATTTAATAAAAATTGAATTTCAATAAAAATGAAAATGAAATTTGAAAATAAGATTTCGTTTATTACTCCAAAAATTTGGCAGACGTTAAGAGGGTTAGGATATAATAAGTCAAACTGAAATAACGTCGGATTTTCGCCGAGAAATGTATTCGATATATATCGTACGGGAAATTGAGCTCTTCGAAATTAGACCGGTTTCAATTACCATGCGTATGGTATCCGATGGGATCACAGGACATTATGAGCCCCCGGACGAGTGAGAGTGATAGCGAGATAGATTGGGGATCACAGTGCGTCATTTGCGCCCGTTAACGCGACACCTCGACCGAACTGGAGAGCTGGTGGCAGACTTTCAACTCGGAAACCAACACAGGACATGGATCCCACCGCTACGGAGACCGGAAACCGTTTGCGGCAGGGTTACGACGACACACGAGGCCATTACAAAGACGAGGCAAAGGGATTAAATCGAATCCTCGATTATGTCGCGTATCTGTTACGCTTCTCCCTGCTGTCCATTGGACGTTTCGATTAACCCTCGTGTTGTGATATTTCGGACAAAGATATTCCGGAAAGAAAACTCTTCCATCTAGCGTCTTTTCGAGATAGATAATGAAGAATCTAACGCATCAATAATTGGGAAAATATAATTTGGCAAGAATCATAGACATTTTTTATTACAGAAGATTCAAAATTTGATCAAATTCGTCTTGTTCATCGAAAAGTGCCAATAGAAATGAGATTAGCTATTGAGATAAATGTCCCTATCTCTTTCCTTCTCTCTCTCTCTCTCTCTTTTGCGCGGCTTTCCTTATTATCCCGCTGTGATGTATAAGCTGCTTGCCAATTTAGGGATTAACTTTCAACACCCTCGCTTTTCCGGTGATCGAGTCAGCGTTTCCGAGACTGAAATCCCAACGCAAGTGACGAAGGGCGAGAATTCCAAAGGGAAGGAGAGGTAGAGGAACGAGTTAATCGTCGACCGGAAAACACGGAGGGTTCTCGTCTGGTACCCGTGCCAGTCATCCCTCAAGTTTCTTCTAGCTATTCTCCTTCCATCTACTCTCTCCCCTCGTTGTACCCCATCCTCTGCATCCCTTTCCTTTATTCGCTAATTGTTTTCCAACGTTGTCGTAAACAAGTCGCCGTTCCTAAAGAGTCTCGTAAAACAAACGTGGAAACGCGAACCTCGGCTCGTTTGTAACAAGTTGACCTATTTTAGTCACAACTCGGGACTAATTACCTTTCAACCCCGCGGAGCGATGAAGAAAATGGCGGCGGTCTTAATTCTCAATCGGAGTACAATTTATTATATTGCGATAGAATTGAGATTGATTGAATGTGAAATTAATCACAGTGTTCCTTTTAATTATTCATGGCCAAAGCTTCTAATACTTGCGTCACCCGTTATACTTCACATATACTATACTATACGAAAAATGTAAGTAACAGTTACAAGATATTATTCAATAACACAAAAAGTGCAACGTTTAGAAATATTACGACATTATTTTCCGCGTCACGTCGTCCGTACCCTTTTTCTCTAACTTATACTTTTGTTATCACGACGCAGATGCTGGACGTTAAGGATGGCGGAAGAGGGGTGTTCGTCTGCAGTAGCCCCGGTCCTGATCCTTACACATCGCAGGACCTTTATAATCCTGTCTACGAGGAGCTCAGCAACGGTAAGTGCCGATAATCGATGTTTACTTTGGCCGGCTTTGTCCGGGCGTCTCCTTTTACGCGTCGCAGTTTTTTTACGGAAAAAATCTCGGCGGAAAATCCTGAGAGTAACAATGCGACAGTGCAGAAGGAAAAGTCAAAATTTTCACGAAATTATTTGATTTTAAAAAGATGAATTCAACGAGAAATCGAATTTACCGCAAGATTGTTTTAGATTTTATTTTATTGAATTTTCATCGGTTGAAAAATAATAAAATAATTCTTTTGTTTTCCTAGATAAAAGATAATCTTAGCAAAAGATTATCTATAGGAAATAAAAAGAAATAAATCTTATTATTTTTCGACTGGACCAGCCAAAACTTTATAAAGATAAAATCTAAAACCAGCTATTGAAGTTACGCGGGAAGAACGATATTGTTGAAATATCTAAAAATTTAAATAGATTAATTAGATACAGATTAATTAGATACAGATCTGCAAATAATTTTTTGGACCGTCAAAATAATTATGTAGGAAACAAGTGTGATGAGCATGCTGCAAAAACTTTTAATATTCTAGCAATCAGCTTGAGCGTTCTACATCATTATTTTAATAGTTACAACAAAATTATTTTTAGATTTTTAGATTCAGTAAAACGATTCTTTTCATACACTGAGAAAAAAAGTTAGTTGTTAACTAAATGCGTTCAATTCGTAATGATTATTTAATTCAAGTATTCGTATATTTAGATTCACAAAATCTAATTTAAAATAGATTATTTCTTTGAATTAATAAATATTTGCTTGACAGCCCGTGACCAGTTTAGTTGAATCAACTAATATTTTTTTGAAAGAGCAACTTTTTTCTCAGTGTATACTTTAAAAAAGAACACTTATATATAATAAAACATTATTACATAAATAATACCATTAATAAATTTTAATAAATTAAATCTTAAGCACATTTTCATGCGACTTTTATAATAATCGACGAAACGATACGAATATTTCGCGAGATCATCAAGCTATCCCGTTGCCTTCTCGATGAAACCCTAACGTTCCCATGCAAACGCAAATCACGCACTCTCCTTTTAGATGAGACTCGCCTCTGAAGACGCTGGGGAGTATCCTCGGGGTCGAACATGTCCGCGGGAAACGCATAGGTACGGCACGAGTATATGAGTTTTCGAAACGGTGTGTCCGTCTGTCGGTTGGCTTAATACACGATTAACATGCGGCTGCGTTAAACTAGCGTTAAATCCCATCGACTAACGCGCGCTTTGCGAGACTTCCTCTTATGTATTCCCCCCCCCCTTTTTTTTATTTGTTCCTGGTAACTACGGGACTGCATTTATCAGAATAATCCGGCAGATTCGCGTGCATCGCGATTTACGAGAAAGTCTGCGGCGTGGGAGATTTATGAGGCAAAAAAAGAGTCGATGGAACTTTTTAAGGACGTTGGTACGAAGGATTTTGGAAGCGAGAATCTGCGTGTCGCAGAAGTTCCGGTCTGCGGAGTTCAATGAGTTCGCGAGATTGAAAATGTGCGAAAAAGAAAGATGGGATTTACGTGAATAGAAATCTATAAAATTGAAAAAGGATAAATCTCTAGAGAGTGAAAAATGAGAAATAGGATGGAAATATATATAAGGGCACAAGAGCACATAAATTTTTAAATTATCGAGAAAGTTAATGAAGATCTTTGTGATCTGAATGAAAGCACAAAATTCACATGTGAGATCTGTGCTCTGCAAGAGCAAATCTACATGATTTCTAAGTAATTTTCATACTTTTAAAATCCTGACTCAATATTTATTAAGAATTTACAGGAGCAGATATCTAACATCTAAAAATATACATATATATTATATATATATACTTAAGAATCAAGGAACTTAAAAAAATAAAGATCAACAAAACGTACAATTCACGATACTAATATATCTTTCTCATAAAGATGTAATCAAAGTGTGAGTTTATTCAACAAACGAAAATCTGATAAACGCAGTTTTACGTTGCATCTTCTCGTCTGTTTTTCTCTCATAATTTTTCGCCGTCGTGTATTTTACCGAAGGAAGATAAGCATGACACGACCTCTGACTTATACTTCCCATTAGTTGGACGGCTAATTAGTATGGTGATGAGGCTTTCGACGTTTGACGAGGACCTGGTAATCGAATATACATGCTGCACCGCGTGCATTAGTCGTAACCACGAGCTCGGCCCGCGTATATACGCTATGTACGCATCATCTTTCTCCAGTTTCAAAACGAGAGAGAACGTCGATCTCGAAGAGGGTGGTCCTGTCCCTTATGGGCTTGTAAAAAATGCCAGAGAATTTAACGGATCTACTCGGCGATCACTCGTCGACGAGGAGGATAACTCGCGCGTTACAAAATTCATGGAACTGATCAAATTGAACCCTGCCAAAACAAATTGCTTCTTCTTGACAGGATAATTTCCAGTTGCGAAAAATACTTTTAATAATTGTCAAAATAATGTTCGAAATATATATTCTTTCATATCTTCCAAAACATTCAACCTCTTACTTATTTCCCGATAATCTATAATGTTATTTTATATAATATATGTATAGTATAAAAATATTATTTTATTACGCACTTTATATCAAATTGATATACACATATTTTAAGACTTATATTTTAAAACTATATAAATTATTGTGTATAAAGATTAGATTTATTTAGTCACACAACAGCTCGAGCTGTTATTATTGGTTAGCACATATCGTGTTATTTTTGCAATCGTGAAATCGGAGATGACGGAAATTGCAGAAAATCCGAGATACGTCTCGATCAACGTCGAACAATGTCGATTAACAAGCTTTCCTCCTATCCTCGATGGAAGCAACGGAGGATATTTCGAGAGGACACTCGTCCGAGACGACGTAGAATATCTCAAGTGGTTTAATGGTCAACGAAGTGCGGACTTAATGTTGAAAGTGGAGCCAGTCCGATAACACCTTCAATCTGTTGAAGAATAATTTGGCGCGGTACATCCCGTCTATCCCGCCTCGTTTTCGATCGAGCCCTCCGATCGCGTATCTTCCTCCTGCCGTGAGATAAAAATTAATTGGACGAGCTCGTTCAATTTCTCGCGGCGACCGATTTCAGCCGCTGCGCGCGGCAGCGTATTCCGGTTCCGTTTCGAAATATCCGTTTTACACTGCGATTATTTATACGATGTTTCCTTTTTTTAACGTGCGTATACACGCCCCGTTGTGTCGTTAGTATTGATCGCGGCTCAACTACGACATTTCGGTGGAATAACGTGAGGCAATTAATGGAGAAGCGAAGCGAGTTTCGTGTTGCCGAATCGACGAAGCGAAATTTCAACGCAAAGCTGAATTTGAAGATCAGCTAAATAGATCGTGGGTTACTCTATTTACATTCAACGGTGAAATCTTTAATTGTTACAATGCGTTTCTTATCCTAAATCAATTTTGTCCTGAAACTTCATTGTCCAGATTGTCCGTAAATCGAATAAAATCCTTCGCTCCGTAATCAAAGAGACAAATCCATTTTCTTCGTTGATATATAGTGGAATGGAATGGAATTGCGATTGTTGCTCGCATGAAACTTTACGAGACGTTCTTTATTGGATAATTATGCTTCTTACAAAATAAAAAAATCAAATTATGAATATTATTAAGACAAAGATAAGTTTTAATGAAAAATAAAATTTAATAATTCTTTTAAGAGTAAAAGTAATTTTAATTTTAGAACGCTGTTGATAAATAAATTTTATGTACAAGTGAGCGAGATTATTAAACACTATACTTTCATTATGATTATTGTGGAAATAAGCTTTTCACAAAATTCCATTATATGTCAATTTGACGTCCCAAGTGATCAGTGTGTATAACAAAGCGTATAAGTGATACAATTTTTAAACAGTTTTGTTATTACATATTTTATTTAAATATTATAAAGAGAACATATATATATATATATAATTGAACTACATACTTTATATAATTTCAAAATTGATAGTACACTTATATTGTTTCTTCCTTTTTAAGTTAATAATTAAATTATTTATGTTTATCAAAGTCTAGATTATAAATATTTTGTCGTCAAAGTATGAAAAACTTGAAAAACTTGAAAAATAAAAGTATGAAAAACTTGTGTACGTTAATTAAGAGTAGCCTTATTTTCTTGTAAATTTACATATCGATAGCACTATTATATCACTAATCAATATTGACAGTGTTTTGAAGTTAATCAACTATTAATATTTTTATTTTAAAAAAAGATTAAATATATTATAAAATTGTGTATAACAGTTAAAATTTATATTGAGATCTAATAATATCAAAATAATTAATATAGCGTACGTATAATATTTATAGGTGCACAAGAAAGTTGAGTATAAATTATTTGAGCTGCAAAAATCAATAACATATAAGATCGATGAACCACTCGGAATTGTGATATTATTAATCAAATGACATACGATTTAAAAACTATTAATACCATAATACAATCTTTACAAGAAACAATTATTAAATCGCGAGAAACAAAATTTACATGAAGACCATACCTATATTCCTTACATTACCATACCTAGTTCCTTACATTAATCCTATTAATCCATATCATATCTCGAACTCATTTCACCTGAATTTCTCAACAGAAGTGTGACTACAAATACAAATCTATATTTCGCAACCTTCTCTTAAACATATCTTTCTAAATAATTTACCTTCCCAGAAGCTAATTATCCATCTGATTAATTTCCACCGCGCCTTTGCCAAGGAATACTCTCGTTTTCTTGCGTCCAATTAACCTTCTCTGATTATCTCAGACAGACTTTATTCGCGATTAATCAACATCCCGTCTCGCTAAGAGTGAAATCCTGCTCTTATCCTTGTAATCATCATCATACCGTTATGTTAAGCTCTTAAACGAATTTCAATTCCCGCAGGGGACCATCCGGAGACGGACGAGGAGAGCGAGTTGAATGCTCGCAATCGTCTACATCATCATCACCATCATCACCGTCACCATCACCGTACGTCCAGCGCGTCCAAACCAGCGAGCGAGGATGAATTCGCCGAGGACGAGCTGTCGGTGGGTGAGCCATCGGAAGCAAGGATGCTCACTTCGAGCGGCCCCACCTGGGGTACGTGCCCGGCTGGTGGTAGACCACCGCGCGAACGACGCGGCCGCAGCCCCAGGAGTCTCGATCGACGCAGACGAGACAAGAATCACGACATGGGCGAATTCCACGAGGGCATGCTGCTGGACGCGTTGCTTCAACTCTATCCTAGCGTCGCAGGCAAGTCTATCGAATTATAAAAGACTCTACAGGGTGCATTCGGGGAGACGTTATTAGCGCTATTCGTGTTATTCTATCTTCATCGTTTATTAAATGTAAAACAAGGAAAAGACAATAAATAACAGTAATAGTGTCTCTCCGAACGCATCCATGATATAATAGATATAGAGAGCCAAGAATCCTATGATCATAATATTTGCTGATTAGCTTGGAGTGAAAATTTTATTTTACTTATTTTATATCTAATGATAAGTTTTATGTTTAACAATAAAGATAGCATAACATAATACACTGCCAATTCAAGTGTGTAAAAAATCAATATACATATGTAATTTACTTTCCCGTAAAAATAATAGATACTATAAACGTTTAAATGTATAAATCCATATTTATATACAGTATGTTATTTTTATACAGGAAACATTTACACACATATATTGAAGTTACTTTTTACACTCTTGGATTTGTAGTGTAATCGATGTGTCATTCTATCTTTGTCATTTATTAGACGTAACAAGGATAAAATATGATTTTTCCAGCCAAATATCACGATCACGTAATTTTTAGCGCATTTCCGTTAAACTGTTATAAGATCTCTAACAACGATATTTTGATAGAAAAATGAAAAGATAGTTGTGTAAACGTATATAAAAAGGATGATAGAGAAAGAAGATAGACTATGAAGATATTTCCCAAAAAAATTAATTCTGCTCAAAAGGTTTTTCATAGTTGTAGTGCGCGCTAAACCAATATCTCTAAACTAACAATGATGTTTGCTTATCCGCTCCGTAATTGTTTACTGTTCTTACGTTATTGGTCGGCGACACATCGGCCTCTTGACTCGTTGGTGCTGCTTTTTTTCCTTATTTCTTGAACTCTCCGGCAACGTTTTTCTACCTGCTCTTCGAAGAACTGTTTGCTATTTGAATGTTTACCTAGAGTGCGTAGCTTCTTTACACAATCGAGTAATATAACGTTTTTAAGTTCTGGATTCCTTGAAACCTGTCGCAATATATCTACGTATAGATTCTTCTTCTCTTTACTTACTTAATGAAATTGAGTCAAATTTGATAAACTTGAATCAAAACTTTTCGAATATAATGCACTCTTTTATATCAAAAGTAATCTCTCGTCCTTTTTCTATCTTCAATTCCTATATCAATTTCCTATTTTGATTTCCTATCTCGATTTCCCAACTCGATTTCTGTGTTAACTTTTCAACTTTGTTACAGCATTCTAGATATGTAAATGCATCTCCGAGTTCCTACTGATTCAAATCTCCGGTTTCAGGCGTGGCCGGTACGCGAACGGGCAACGGCAGTACCCAGCGTCAGCAGTCCGTCCCGTCGGTGGCGCACAGGTTACCGTACTTCGTGCCACCCTTGCCGGCTGCACAGGCTCCACGGCTCGAGGAGAACCCTTACGAGAGCGTGCCGGTGCTGGGCCCCCTGCATCGTTACTCTAGCCAGAACAGGAGCAACAAGGAGCGTTCGCGCAACGGCAAATCCGGCAACGACAAGTACAAGTACCTGTCATCGCAGCAACAATACAGCGGCGACTATTATGGTCTGCAGGGCCAGTCCGATGTCACGACGCCGCTCTACACCCAGGTGGGCGGCGAGTACTCAGACACGTACTCGCAGCCAACCGATCGGCTGTTCGGTGACGATAAGTACAGCCAGCCAGTGTATTACACGAACTCAACCCGAGACTCGGCGTGCGATCAAGTAACCAATGCCGGTCGATTGTATCAGGGCCAACCTGACAGCAGTTTCGGTAGCGACAGCGGTTACAGTCATCACACGTCTGGTACCACTGGTACCACTGGTACCAGCGGCACTCGCGGCAGCAATTCCCGGACGAATCATCGCAGGGATAAGCAACGAAATTCCCATCACTCGCATCATTCTGCGGATTACATTGTGTCCTAATGGAGGACCGATCGCGACGTCTCTGAGAGCTCTCTTAAAAATATGCTCTCGCTAACAAGAGAAAAAGAGAGACAGAGAGACAGGATGAGACCTCGTTTCCGTCATATTATTGTCGCGATAGAATGATGATATCTATCATGCACGTTCGTTAATGGAGAAAACGGCTGATGCCGATTCGGCTGTGCTGAACTGCTGTATTTTGATACTTCGACGTCCACAGTTAAGAGTCAATAAAGGTATTCTTATCGCTTCGGCGTATCAAGTTGCGACGATCATGTTGAGCGATTTGATCGTCGAAGCGATGAGGAAACTCGCGAGCAAGTGACAATTCGGACTTGACGAGAGAAACATAGTGATCTGTTAGTGATTTATACATGTAGCTGACACGCAAGACTATCTAACAAATTTATTTGTAATCCAATGAGACTCAGGCTGGTACCAAAGGACGCTAACGATTACTTTTACCTTTTTAGTCTACAATCCTTTGTAATTTATATACGTAGAGAAAGAGCGTTAACCGCGGAACGAGCGGACTTTGTTCTCGTCGTGATATCGTCGCCTGTAAATCGTGCGACTACCAATCGCGAGAATACGCAGAAACAGTGTTAAAATTATCTAGGCGATTCCATCGTTCTTTCAAGCAATTCACAGTTTTGTAGACTGACAAACGTGTGAAATGTTCAAAGTCGAAACCCGCAAAGTCGAAACAAAAATTTGCAAATCTGCCTATTATAAGATGAAATTTGATTTGTTTTAAAACTGACATCGAGAATCGTTAAATCCGAAATCTAAGACATCAAGAATGCGATATTTTTAGACCAAATAACGAGGTTATTTAAAATGAATGGCGCAAATTACGAAATAAGCGGGTATCGATTACGGAATTATGGCGTTTTTTCCCTTCAGATTAACCGCCAATCCACTGCCAATCCTATCCTAAATGGTCGGACATGTGCAGCCGACCAGCAAGTTTCGTACAAACTTTGATATGACATGTAATTTTTGTCTCGCCCTCGGAAAAAAACGGATCCGATCATATGGTAAGGAACGTTAGATAGTATCACGCGGTTGTCTAGTCCGATAATAATCACTTTTCATACCAACGACGCTTTAAAGAGTCTTGTCAATGTGGCACTCATGCACGCTGATGATAATCTTGTAACAATAAATGCACAGTAAACGCTGAATTCTCAAATTATTTGTAAACAGAAAAACAGAACGATATATGCTGAAATTTAATCGCCAGTTAAATTATGACAAAAGCATTATGCTGTTCTTTATCATTCTCAAAAAATTATGAAATTATTTTAAAAAGATATAATAGAAACAACTTATTTATAAACAATGTATTGTTTATGAACTGTTATATAATATAAACTAATGTAAGCAATATTTTAAATTACAATAAATACATTCCTGAACTTTTTAAATTTGCAAGAAGTGTTGCACGATTTCGATACAATAAAATATATAATAATATATTTTATCGAAGCAGAGTATTATTAGTGATTCAGCCAAGTAAAATAAAGTAAAAAATTCAATTTTATTTTCAAATATGAATTCTCTTTCTACTATTGTTTACTTCTGCATAGATAATAAAACGACGCGAGATAAAGCGAAATAAAGCAGGTTGTTTTAATTAGGTTTCAACATACACAATACGATTTCGGGGATCGTAGATGCCACACGTATTACTAATATCATCGCTACACTGCCGTTAAATGTATATACATATACATTCGCGCTTCCACGACTGGAAATTTTTGGGTGCGCGCGAGCCTTTTATTTTTATAATCCCATCGCGGAAATGTAAAACTATAACAGTCGCTCGATAAAAATAAGGGAGTAAATTTTATTTCCGAGGAGAGAATCTACCTTTTCTTGCTCTGAAAAAACTTTCCAATGAAGCCGCGAATTTTCGTTCGTGATACTTCTCATAACTTCGTTCCTTCTAAAATCAAAGATTCCTGACTGCAAAAATCTTCTTTCCCAATCCGGTAATACGCTTTCTAGATCGCGAATGGTGTACTTCCAAAATAGAAACCGAAGGCGAGGCACCATAATCGCACTAATGAAGTCTCGCTGTTATCAATAATGTAACAGTGACCGCGTGTTAGAAAATTCATGAGTCGCAATTGCGGCATGCTCGTAACTCCTGCTCCATTCCAAATCGCCATTTTGGCGTATGTTAGCTTTATTGTAGACAAAGACTCAACGAAGCAACTCCGCGAATGGCCCAAATTACCCACGTGCATTATTAAGTACATTATTATCGCGATCGGGTCCGTTATATCGAGCGCCTTTACAAACAATTCTTGATCGGTAGTCGCACGTGGACGACTTGCGAGCTCGCAGATTGTGACAAACCAACGTTGATTTATTCCTCAGGATGTTACTTCGTCCCGTTAAATTATTGATGAATGCAAAATCATTTTGGATTATGTCGTTCCAATTTTTACTCAAAGAACGAAACGCCTTTCAAGAATTGCAGTAAATCTAGTCACAAAACATACATGTTAGACAAATTGAAAAATATTGTGATGTAGACATACGTTTCTTTTTTTTTACGTCGGAACGAAGTGACTACCGGAGGTGCAGGACAGTTCAAGCTTTTGGTACACTGCGAAATAGACCAAAGCGAGAACGAGACGCGAAAGAGTGAGAGGGAAAGTGTTCGTGCTAGAATGTACAGGCGCACGTTAGTACACCGTAAAAATACCGCTATCCCTTATATACATACCGCATGTAAGAAAGTAAACGGTAATCGACGAGCAGTGTACATAGAGAACCGGGAGGAGGTAATCCACCCGTGTGTAGCATAGCTGTACCATAACGTTACCGAAATCTTTTCCCGTGCGCGTACAAGAACGAGAAAAAAAGATTGAAATTTAATATATATATAAAAAAAAAGCTATGTATAGAGGGAGAGAGGCGCGAGAGAAGAGATTATAAATACGAATATAATTTTTAAATTATTTGTAATGGCAGACGCACGTCGCAACCATGGCGATGAAGATAGGAAAAGGAGGAGAATTCATTGTATCTTTCCTTTTCGGAGCGAGAGGGACGAATCGCAGGAAATAGGTGTTTAAAGGAGGCCCTTAGAATTTTCTGAAGCCTCCCTCTCGCTTCTCGAAATAGTGCACGCTCTCTTTTTAGACGCGCCTAGACGCGAATACCTCAACACAAAGAAATAATCGCTCTGTTGTAAATATAATTTTATATGTACGAGCCGGCGAGATTACGGTAGTTTGCACGATTGACAACAATGGGCCGATTCAAGATTGCCGCAAACATTAAGATTCCTGAAATGACGATTGAAAATGTAAACTCAGCTCTCGTTCATCGAACGTGTTTCTACTGGAATTTGTAGTTTGTTCGTATTTTAAGATTGTCTTAAGTAATATCTTAAGGTGTTAATATGATTTTGTAATTAGCCTATAACATCTTAAGACTACTTAATACGATCTTAAATATAAGGACCGATAAAAATATGAATATCAGCCTATCTTCGTATCATTAAATCGTTAAATAAATTATTTTGAAATACGAGTTAACGAGAATGTTGCGACTGAAGCAATTATTATTGCACCAGGTCATTCGATTCGTTAAAACACATTTACGATAGCTTGAACTCTCCAATACTTTCATTGCTATTAATTTAGAAGAATGAATATTTAAAGCCTGGTTGTTAAAAAATTTTGTATAAAGTAAAGGTGTTATTGGCAATTTTAAATTTTCTATATTAAAATGTTTCCACGTTAAAATCGGCCCTACGAGTATCGAAATATATCGTTTAATGATAATTCGCGCAAATCGAAAATCACGCGGCGCAACAACAATTTGTGTTTTTATACGGAACAAATCGATATGCGCGAGTTTGCATTATACTCGGGAAATTGGTGGATCGCGCAACGCTGCTGTTAATGTTATGCCAATCTAACGCTCCCGAAAGTCGTGCTCTCGATCTTAAATTATTCTAGATTCTAGATGATACAGTATAGCACCAGCAATAACAGTTCGAATAATCGAAATATCCTTTTCAATTCTTTATTTTTATTATCGTTCTTCTTGAGTAAGTTGAATGTGCACCGCGTTTCCTCACTTTTATTAGCACAATTAAAGTGATTCATCAATTTATCGTTGATTATTTTCTTGCGTCCTTCGGACTTCACAAATTACAAAAGATTTCAGCAAACAAGCTAAATTAGTTGGGAAAGTGCGAAATAATCGAATAATTCTATACTGATTTAATTTCAAACAAGGGAAAGTTATTTCTTTCTCCGACATGATCTTTGACTTTCCTGCGATAAACTACGAGCAGCTTACCAGTATTATTTAATTATTTCGTTTATTAATGAATTAACGAATCGTAACGAAGCGACTTCGCAAATTACGTTATAACGCTCTTCGGAGCACCTTCGAAGAAAAACTCGCATCCGAATCAGGAGCGAAATTTCTGATTAACTAATTAGCTCGATTTCTTAAATTAGACTAAGGCAGCTCTCATCGTTCCTCAGGAAGTGTATATTCGAGCAGAATAAAATAATATTAAATTGCGAGAGCATGACTGACTAGAGCGCGAGAGCGAAAGCGGGAGAATGAAGGTGTACAGTGTGTACTTATTAGGACGAGAATCACGCACGATCAAAAAGAAAACACTGCATACAATCAAAGTGCGCACACGATGCGAAAATATTAGGCGATTCGAAGATCGAGAAAGATCAATAGAAATGTGTAGGAAAAAGAAAACGAAAGGCGGATCGAGCTTTTGTTTCTTTTTGCGTTCATGTTAATTGAATGTTTTGCGTTGTTGTTTTATCTTCTTTTATGCATAGCTTGTATAATACGTAACAACGGAAATCTAAGTTATTCTTGTTCTTATTTTTAATGGGGAAGCTCGAAAACCCCGATCGAGCGCGGGATCTTCGTTACGAAGATCACGATTAATCGTTGCATATCGAATGTAGTGAGTGAGCGAAGTGCAAAACGAACCATGCGTGATCCGAATGTATGCAAAATATATGTCGATAATAGGATAACAAGAATGTGATAGAATGCGTTCATAAATTGTTTTTCATAAACTAATATTTGATTCGCACACTTACAAGGTGTTCGACATTGAATATATCGAATTAAATTCTCCGAGAAAGTGTAAAATTCATTTAAGATCAGTTAAAATTAATTTTCTTAATTGTCCATACAAAATTAAATTCAACAAATATATAAATTGGTAACGTTGGCGCTTTATATTGAATTATAAATATCAGGATCTTGTATAAAAATTGCAGAAAGAGAGGAGGTATCAAGCATGAGTCGTTTAGCGTATGCGTCGAAGTGTTTGATTTATAAATTCGTCGTCTTTTGTTCGCCGTCACAATGTTTTATTGTTATTGCGTACTATGCGCGAGGATAGCGAGCTTTAGCTCCAAACATGAGTGAGAGAGAGAGAAAAAGAGAGAGAGAGAGAGAGAGAGAGAGAGAGAGAGAGAGAGAAAGAGAGAAGGAGAGAGAGAGGAAGGATGACGGGAAAAGAAGAGACGGGAGAAAAGAGAGAAATAAAAAAGAGAATGCACGAACGAAAGTTAGAAATAGAGAACGTTTCCTTACCTTTCGAAACGCGTATACGATTCGCGAGATTATTATTATTTATTGTTGCGTTTTGTATGAGGGGACAGAGGATCACTTTCCCCTGTCGCTTTTCCTCAGCAGTCCCCCTCCCCCTGTCCCGTTTTGGTACCGTCGTTTCTTAGCGGCGGTTTTAGCGCTGTAGGCAGAACAGAGGACACAATAACATAGGCACTAGAGTACCTCAAGAGGAGGTAACAAGTAGCATCTCTTTGAAAGTTAGCTCGCACGGGCGTTCCGCCCTTTCGTCGCGCCGGGGATGCTCAAAAATGACGACACATGTATTCCAACACGTGTTCTAGAAACGCACATTTAACGGTAACAAGATGTGGCCTTTCGGATCCCATCTCACGAGATTTATTTCGTGTCGAAACAATTTTAATTTTAGAAGATAAAATACACAAAATTATACAATCGTACTTTGCGCTAAATATATCTAAAGTAGATTGTCCAAAATTTGCTCGCGAAGAGAAGCTATACGCTTTTCTTTCTTCATCGTTTCGTTGCGAGATAAAGAGTAAATATAAAGAATAGATGTTAGAGCTCTATCTAATGCTATTGCTGACTATCTGTTTAGTGCCTATCCTTTTTATTTGTGAATCAATGAGATGATGGAGAAGTGAGAGTTAAGTTTTGGACAGACTTGAAATCCTATAGCATAGATGCGCCAAGAGTCACGTGATTTTATGTCTAATAG